TGTTCATAGGTTCACTGTGAATCATAGTTGACTTGATGACACCTAACAACAGTAACAACAACAAGGCAGGGTACTGTGCTTTAAAAAGGATATTGTGGTTGAAAAAAAATAGAGATTCAATGAATAAGAGGAATGCCTTCAATGGAATAAATTGTCACAATGTCTGGAACAATAGGTTTAACACAATGAAATTATAGAGCTGGCACAGACTCGGGCAGGGTGTTCTACTATACACAAGGCCACTGTGAGTCAGAGTTGGCTACATGGCACCTAAGAACTGCAATATAGACAAGAGCTAGATATATTTCACTTTTCTACTGTTCTCTGGAGCAAGTTGAATGATGCTCTAATTTGCTATCCCTTGAAAGACAGAAAAATTTATCTTTTAATTTCTAGAATATTTATTTCAATTATTTCTTTTTGTTATAGTTTGAAGATCAAATCTTCATATATACTACATATTTTCTCAGGGCTGTCAGTGATGCTATTATTATTGAACACAAAGTTTTCTTTCCTTAGTCAATTGCCAATAAGACAAACTGATTGCAATATCCGTAAGCACTTTATTGTGGGTTGGCTCAAAGACTGTCTCAAAGACTGCCACTCTGACTGTAAGAGGTCATCAGGCTTTTATATTAGGGTGAGATACCAACTTACTTAACACTAACTTTTGTTAGTAAAATCAAAGAATTTCTATATCTGAAAGAAAATCATTCACATCCAGATACTCATTCCCAGCAAACAGGCAGATTAAGTTACAATTTACATACACGATTGCGGGGGGGGGGGGGGGGGGGGGGGAACAGCTTCAAAGAGATAAAGCTAATCTAGGAGAAGCATCTCTTCTTCTGATAAACAGACTAAAGAAAGTACACCAAGAATTCTAAGGTCAAGCAACTAGCCTTGCAGACTGGAGAAAACGGATGCCAGTTTTATATAACTATAGTTTTTATATAACTATAGTTTTTATGTAATTATACTTTTTATATAACTATAGTTCCATAACTGATACATACATAGATAATTCAGTTCCACTCTATCACTATCATAAAATTCTAAGGCTTATTTTTTTTTATTTCACTGTTTTAATGGACACACACATAGACTGACAGTTATTAGCATTGGTAGATGGTTCAAAATCAAGAAAGGGGTCCGTCAGGGAAGTATTTTGTCTCCATACCTTTTCAAGCTGTATGAAGAACAGATTATCTGGGAGGCTGGGCTCTATGAGGAGAAGTGCGGTATCAGGATTCGTGGAAGAATCATCAACAACCTGCGTTATGCAGATGACACAACCCTGCTTGCTTAAACTGAAGAGGACCTGAAGCGCTTGCTGCATAAGGTCAAGGACTGCAGTCTTCAATATGGATTGAAGCTCAACATCAAGAAAACAAAGATTCTCACCACTGGG